GGGGGAGAGGAGAGTCACCACACAGTTTTTGCAGAAACTGCATATATACACTAATTTTGCAGTGATTTTCAGAGATCTGTGTCACATGTTGGCCCTCTTCACAAAAATTTCATTAAATCAGAGATTTATGCCACTTTTAGCAACAAATTTTTAAAATTCTAAAAACAAGTACTCCTCTGAAAATAATATAGAGAGTTAGGTTTGGGGTTTAGCATTTATTTATAACAACTAGTAACAAGTTTATCTGGACTGACAGCTGACACATCAACTTCAGGCCAAAGCTATGTGAAATGGCAGAGCTGCTGTATTTAATCCCACCACTGGCACTCATGCATAATGCAAAGCACAGGTAGACACCTAAAGACCAGTGCTAAGTCTACAAGGTCTGGGATATTCAAAGAAATTCAAGGGTAACAAGTTCTCATTTACCATTACAGTTCAATAGCAAATGGCAGCTCATAAACTCCACTGGAAGTCCCCACTGGCAAATTCCACAGCACTCTGTCTCTAATGATGCTCCCAGTGGTTTCCAATGCAGATTCATTAGCAACAGCTGATTCCTCAGGGAACTTCAGGCACTTCCACCTCTCTCCTTCCTCCTTAAGAAAGGCACTATGATTAGTTTTGACTGGGTTTTTTAGTGCCTACTAAGACTGTACTAATTTGGGATGGATTTTCCCTACCGCAGGTTCAGTTGTTTATGAATCTGATGGTTGGTGGGAGAAAGGGAACCTCACTCAGCAGCACCAGACCTGCTGGGGCAGCACAGCCCTTCTCCATGGAACAGCCAGGAAACCACTGCTGCCACACAGGTTCAGACCACTTCGTATAGAAATTGGGTCTATAAGCATTGAAGATCTGAGGACAATTCCCAGCAGTTTCACCTGGAGTCGAAATCTCAAATACCATCAATAAACCAGGCCTTCACATCTCAATCTGATTTCACAGCAGGAACTGAATTTGGTACCAGGTCTCAAAAAGCACTGGAAAAAATATTTTGACCCTGAAGCTACCAAGGAAAGAGGAGCCTAATCCATTTCCCAGCTGACTAAGGCAGGAATCAATCTGGGAATTTTAATGGTGCTATTTACTTTTAACCAGTTCAATCCTGTGAAAAAGAAGCAGCTTCATTTCTTAGGCAAAAAAGCACCTTTCACAAAAAGCAGATGAGCAATTAGGCCATAACAGATCCTCCTATAATTAGTCTTGTCTGCTTTTGGTGCTTTTTTTTTTTGTTACAAGACAGAGAACAGAAAGTATTCAAAGTCTATAATGTTTATGATGAATAAAGTCTGCAACATAACTCTTCTTCATGTCTATACTTTGGATTTTTGATCATGATAAAATTACTGGAAATGCCATTATTCTGCATGTTTCTGTTCTTTATTTACTTACTGGCTTAGGTAAAACAATGCAATTCAATTTTTAGGTTTTGTCTCATAATTCTTGAGATAAGTTTGATCTAGAGAATTGGGACCGCATTCTTGGCTAAGACAAAATGTATATTTATTCCACCGAAACTGCTTTATCATAAAGGTCCATTGCAGCGGGCAGAGGAAGCAAGCAGCCGATTCAATGTGAATGATAGAGCAAGCTTCAACTTTATTGAAAGAAATCACACCTTATATAAGCACTCTGCAATAATCATGCATACTGCTCACAAATCTATTGGATACATGTAAAAGGCTACATTATAACATCCCAGCCCCTTGTGGCATCTCAGGCATGTCACAACACCTTCCCTCCTCTGGCTTTCTTTCTTTCCCAAGGCTGTTCTTTATCATACACAAGGCTATAATGTACCTCAGTTTCTCTCTTTGTTAACATAACAGTCCTTTGTTAGCATAACTGTACCCTGGTTTTTTTCCTTTGTTTACCTCAGATGGCTGCAATCAGCTTCTGCAGGGAGCTATGGCCTTGCTCTCTGCCAGCCGTTCTCCAACAATCCGTAAGGGTTCCAACTCATTTATTTGATACTTGTCTTAAATATCTAGGTTTTGGAGTCATATGATGATGCAGTTGTATTTTATTTTATTAAAGCCCAGTAAACACACTATTTTAACACTGGTGTTATTAAAAAAAAATAAATAATTAAAAACATCTCAAACTCTAACACTGCCAGTGATACCACTTTAAGTTCATAGCATGCCCCTAGGTTGAAATAATTTAAAATTTTAACCTACTTACATGGCTATGTTATCAGTTATGTCAGCTTTAAAGCACACAGCTTCTATACTATTTTTGGGATGATGGTTTTTTAATTCATATCAATAAGAGACTTAAAAATAGGTGTGACTTGGATTCATAACTTGTCTGTGCATTAAATACCTACAGTCTCACC